TTTACATTATGCTCTCTGGTATTTTAAATAATATTAACACTACTTGAACTACATGACAGTTTGTTCTTTTCGGATTAGATTTTGTAACAACTGTGAAGTAGTGCAGTACCTTTGCTTTATGTCCACCACTCAAAGCAAGCACCGAGAGATGTAAATTATCCATTATTCTACGTGCAACATACTGAAATAAACATTGAAAAAATAACATTATAAACTTGTGATTACTTAACCTTTAGTCAATCTGATATCCTTTTCAAAACATTTTCATTTCCTAAATCATCAATTACTAAATCCATTTGGAGAAAATCAGCTTTTAAAAAAACATGATAACTTCTCATGCTCTGTGATATGTCAATCTCTGAACAGGCAAGAAAAAAAAAAACTCTCGGTAGAATCTGTATCAATGGGACTATAATTTACAAACATTTTCTTGAACTGCTATGTCCAGTTAAACTTAATGCACATCATACCCTAGAATGTTTGAAATAACTCACATAAACCTGATCCACCAGCTCTCTTGCTGGAACAACTATTACACTTCGTGGACAGTTTGGGCGTTGGTCTAACCCATCAAATGGATTAATTTTCAGCATGTGAAGGATGGGTAGCAGATACGCAAGAGTCTTCCCACTCCCTAGAAAAAAGGCGAGAGGAAAAAACATTATATATAAGAAAAATTGAGAAGAAGAATGGCAGCTACTGTATTTCTATGAGTCAATAATAACATCAGATTTTAAAGAAAGTTTATTTGTATCATACACAATGTAACTATTACACAATGAAATTATTTTATCAAAAATTGGAAATCAAAGTTTCATACCTGTTTCTGCAGCACATATCACGTTGTTATTGTTTAGCATCTCTGGGATTGTTAGAGCCTTAAAAAAGTAGATTGCAAAATTGTACCTCCAATGTATTTCATGTACTAGGTTATCTAGAATCTCAATATTGTAATCAAAACTCAAACAAAACTGTATCAGAATTCTCAATCTGAATTAAATGCCATTAATATCCATTGGTGCACGATTTGGATTATTTAAAAAAATTCAAACATGGACTTTCATGTTGGTGTGAGTTTATCAACATATGTAATGCTAATAAATACCACAGTTTCTTAAACTATGTGTATCAGTACGTAAAAATCTTAAATTTCCTATCTGCAACTGTCCTTTACTGCCAAGTCTATGTAATTCAGCTTTATACTTTGAAGAATAGGGTTTGAAATTGACTGAACAGGCCTGTAGCCGGGGGTGGGGGGGGGGGGGGTTCGAAAGGTTCGAAAGAACCACCCCTTTTGCTGGGAAAAGGTCCAGTTTGGGTAAAATTTGATCTAGGTACATGAAGTTTTTATGGGAAAAGGTCCACTTTTTCAGGAAAAGAACCCCCCTTTTGATATTGCTGGCTACGGGCCTGCTGAAGATAGTAGAAGTTTCCCCATGCCAGTCTTACATATACCTGTATGTGTGTGGGCTTACATATACCTGTATGTGGGTGGGCTTACATATACCTGTACATGGGTGGGCTTACATATACCTGTATGTGGGTGGGCTTAC